CCTGGGTTCAATCCCAGTCGGCGCCGCCGGGATGTTCTGAGGCATAACATCTCTGATCACGCCTTCCTTCGGATGGGAAGTAAAGCCGTTGGTCCCCGGTTCATGAGTTGATGGGTCGATAGGTAGGGTCCAGGTGTGGGAGCTGCCTTCCTGGCACGTCGGTAGCATTGGTGCTCAGCACGGAAAACAAGATCGACGGAAAAAACAAACCAAAGGAAAGCAATGTTGTGCGACATTCGAGTGTGTCCTGACCTCAGCCTAGACAACACCACTTGAGAACGGTGATCAGGTAGGTCTTCCCATCGGTGCGTCTCTCCTTTTATCTTACGGATAAAAAGATCTTTTCTGTCTAACCAGTCCTGGCTCCAGTTCTGCCTTGTAATTTTGAACAGTCAATTTATTAAGTCTGGACTTGGAACTTCGCTTGTCAGTTTGTTCATTAGTCGACCAGAAGAGGCGAGGTAGTCGGCTTCAACGTTACCCTGGATGCCGCTGTGGCCAGGTATCCAGGCAACGGTGGAGTTGGGTGGAGCGGACTGGATGATGGCCTGGATCCACGGGTGTTTGGGGTACTCGGCGTCGAGGGCGGCTACAACGCTGGCTGAATCCGTGAACAGCACGATGGCGACGTAGGCTGCAGCTGTATCAGCAGAGAAAATATTGCACTACTGGTCGGAAAGACTGTGACATATACTTATTTCGCGGCCAGATATCTCAATTCCGGTTCTACATTGTGCGACAGAACCATCGTAATAGCGGATCGTGTGATTTTTATATTGACGGTGTATAAGGTCCATGTGTGACTGGTTCACGGCGAGGGGCTAGCACCTGCTGTACAATTATTTTTAGTTGTCGAATCGATAGAAATGTTGGGCAGATTCCACCCCTGGCTCCACACCAGTGGACCGTGGACACTGAGAGGAGCGCCTGGTTGGCTGTGCTGGCGAGGAGCTGGTTTGCCTCCTCTAGGAGGAACACTCCGTCGCTCGAACTATGGTGAGTGTGATGAAACGGTCGAAGGGGAGGACACCTCCTTCGACACATGCTGCTAAATCCGGGGATGACGGGAGAAAATATGAGTAAATGTCAGTCATATTTGAATCGTTTGTTTCTCATCAAGAAGTCATCAAGATTTTTCGATCTTTTAACTATCTTGAAAAAGTTCGCTCAAAACTGTTTACAGTACTTTTGATGAAATGTTCTCAAATTTCCCTTAGAATCATTTCCCATCACAGTGATATTTTTAGAGTTTCTCTAAAATTAATTTTAGATTCTCTCCGAGAGACCCTTGAACATGTCTATACAACATTTCAGAACACTCTAAAAAAATCGAGGAATTCGTCGTAAGATTCGCTTCGACAGGATTCATTGAAGCTTCCTTATATAATTCTATTTAAAATTAGCCTGAATTCTCCTTATAATTTCCATTCAATTATGCTCAGAATTATCATACAGTTCTGCTCATAATAATCGTGGAGCTCTCTTCTAAATTATTCTGAAAATACGTTTGAAATTCTCCTTAGAATATTCTTGAATTTCTTATCGAGACGCTCTTGGAATTATTCTCGGAATTCTCATAAAACTCATCTCAGAATTCCTCAAAATTCGATCCCCTTGGCATTTATCGTGAGATACTTGTAATTCTCTTTAGAATTCACATGCAATTATCTTTAAATTTTCTAAGAATTTACTTCGAATTGTCATCACAACACTTTTAAAATCCTTCTAAGAACTTATTTTGAATATTTATTAGAAATGCACCTCTAATCCGCTTCACAATCGTCAATTATTTTCCAAAAGAACTACCTAAAGAGATTCTACTCTGAACGTCTGAAGTCCAACAAATGACTTGGAGTTCTAGTCAAATCTATCTTAGAGTTCTTCCAAAAAATCTGTTGGCATTTGTCTCTGAAAAAACATTCAAGAACTCATTCTAAAATCTCTTCAAAATTCTCATAATTTTTAGTTCATCAAAGTGACTAACCTTTTCCAGTCCACGGGTTTTGAAATTGTTTAATATAAATGATGTTTAATTTCCTTAATCGGAACGCGGATATATCTTATGATGGGTTTAAAAACAAGTGTTGGGCAGGATGGAGGGTAGACTGATGCAAAATTTGACTTTTTCGCTCCACAGTGCTTAAATGGTTTCAAATCGGGTCCTGATTAGACTCCAAAAGTTACAACTCATTTGGTTAGAAACAGACTTCGCACAAACCATTTGAAGTTTACATGTAAATTACTATGGGAAATCTCAACTTTTTGTTCATTGCCTTCTAGTCTTTTTCCATATTGAGCTGCGAAACAGTTCGATAGCAATTCTTACAGAAAATTTTCTCAGCTACAACTTTGCTGAAAATCGTTTCTATGTAAAACGAGACAGAAAAAAGTTATTAATTATTTAAGAGATTGGTAAACTTATGACATGATCAAGCAGCTGCTCTGTAGGCAACACTGTATTTTGCAGTATGACATAGTAGCCATGATGTTTGTGTCCTATTCAACGCCCCAGAAACACCAATGTTGCCTGCTGATCAGTTGATTGAGCATGATCATAAGACATCAGCGCATTGAACAATTGAACAGGAACTTTTGATCCTTGCATTTAATCAAAAAATGGTCTTCAGCAAAGTTGTAGCTGGGAAAATTTCCTACAAGTACAGTTGAAAGTTTTTGAAGCAAACCGATATGGTGAATTATTAGATAGACATGAACAAAAATCTTGGTTTTACCATAGTAATTCCCATACAAACTTCAAAGGGGGAGAGGTAGCTCATCGATTCTTCTGGTTCGCCTCCTAGCACGTGCTATAAGGTACCAGGCGATAACCAGGGTAGTTGATCGATAGCTCGATGACGTCTGCAATGGGAAATTCTCATAGCAGGCGTTGACGATGGGACGTTGTCGAGTTGTTGAATAGCAACTATCGTGGTAACTCACCGATTACCTGTCGATCTGCCAAATTTGGAAAGACGTCTGCATTGAATTGTCTCATATAATAATATTCCGCCCACTATATCACAAGAAATTGCGAGTAGCTGAGTGGCATGGAGATAAGTTAAGCATTGGGTACAGGAACAAGTCTCCCCTGGGTGGTGCCAAAAGATGAGCGCAATAGAATCATCAAGTTGCCATAAGGCACGGAATGAGACTATTGCATGGCTGGGTAGTCAAAGTCTTCCATTCGTTAGTCATTTCAGGTGGATTAGAACAGGTTTAGGTGGGCGTTGGCCAGATTTGGATTTTTCAGATGTAATCCTGGATAGGACCCTGTCATTGAACGTCGCGTGAAAGTGGAACTTAATGAAGGCCTAAGTACTTTTTCGTAGTTTTTAGTTTTCGGATTTGAAAGATCGTCGGTTACAGTGGCCTGCTTACTGAGCAGAAAAACGCTGTCCCAGGTCCTTACATATCAAAGAGATTTATGGTAAAATCGCTTGTGTATCGTGTATTTTGCGAAACTCGTTGTTGTCGTTGGTTCCGGGTTTGAATGGATACACAAATTTGAGTAACGGTATTATGTGATATGAGGGGCTCGGTGGCCTTAGAGCAACCGTTTTTGCTTACTGAGCAGAACATCATGAGTCTAATCTCAGGCCCATCCACATTCAAGAATCGTCAATCGTTTTATTTATTAATATGACTACATGGTAATAACAGCAACTCGATGATTAAAAAGGTGCTCGTCTGCCTAGTGGCAAACGTTTTTGGTTACTGAGCAGAAGACCATGGGTTCAATCCCAAGCTCCTTCGCGTTATATGATTGTTAGGACATCAATTCAGCTTATCGTTTACCAAAACGAACCCTGCTGCAAACCCAACCCTCTTATCCAACATCCCAGTGATTCCTCGTGGAAGTGCAGAGGTGTTCTCGGCTTCCATCAAAGCGAGTGTCATGTTAACACAATCCTTCCCATTCCTTTCTTGACCTGTGTTCGGGCGCGGCCGGCGCTGGTATTGCCTAATTTAAGATCACCAGTTTTTCCACATTGAGGATGATTGCTAGTCCCAAGCATCGTCTATTGGTTCTCTGTGTAATTACAGCTGATCTGGCAGTAACAGAGTAGCAACCGTGGGCGGTCAATCAAGCTCAAGTAATTCCCATACAAACTTCAAATGGTTTGTGCCATCTCAGTTTCTCACCAAATGGGTTCAAATTTTGAGAGGCTAGTCAGGATCAGATTTGGAATCGTTTAAGTATTGTGGAGCGAAAATTTCAAATTTTGCATCACTCTAATGGAGGGGCACCGGGTTAATTTCAGCCTCAAGCAAAAGGCTCGGAAGCAAACTGTGACGTGAAATGTACAAGGAAGGGGGGTTAATATTTCTCCATGTTCTTAGGCAATGCTCGCTTAATTGTCCAAAATCCGAATGATGAACATGCATTTGAGATTTATTTGAATAAATTGTAAGCACATTGGATTGGACTGTGTTTAGACTGAATTAAAAGGAATATTTTATTCGCGATTTACTAGTCAATATACATACACAAATCACTTACTTGGTACGACAGTCTGTCTGAAAGTGAAAGGATCTAGCTAAATGAACGTATAGAACAGCAAAATACGACGAAGTAGTACGTGCATAAAATAGAAAATTGATTTAGATAAACGTGCTACTAAACCTGGTAGATGACGCATGGAGGTATCTGTTTTACTCCAAACGGTTTTGCCACTTTCACGCCTTCGTAAACCATACAAAGTACACATACAGTTTCTGCCGATTCAATCAAGTCTGTTACAGTAGGTACCTACCTATCCGTGTACATTTCATCAAAATATAAACCGTTGCGGCACTGTTTTTTTTTTCATCCAATCGAATTGCATGATGGCATACCGAATCGAATTGACCAATTTTCCAAAACTCCACTTTGGTTTCTTTGGTCGATTCCATTTCCACTTACGGCCACGCGGACCGTCAGGTGACGACTGCCATTTGCCGCATTGCAGAAGCGCAACCATAATTAGTGTCTGTTTTTTTCTTCTCTGTGTCTCCTATAGCCATAGATTACGATCAACGAAAAGAAGCTGAACGTTTACGGGTCAACACCGAGAGCGATCAGTGTGCTATTGCTAATATCCGCATCGGGTGCAATCTCATCGGCTGGTGAGCGGAAGACATCACACACAGGCGGGAAGAAGAGTCACACATATCGTGAACGTCCGAAAAGAGCAAAACCCCACGGACGGATGCGTGGATGGCCAAAAGTGAAGTTCGATCACCTTCTTTTTCGCCGCAGTAGTGACCGTTTGTTGCTCAGCACTTGCCGTAGATCTTCCAACCTGATCGGACGCACGCGATCGCGAGTTCGCAACAAGAGTGTAAGTTTGTGTAAGGCTGTTGTAGGTCCTGGGGAAAAAATTGAGTGCGACCGGAATTAATAATATTTTTGGATAACAAAAGTGCAATAAGTGAAGAAGATGTAAGAGATGGTGATGAGATGAGAGAAGTGCTATTCGAAAGTCAATCGAAAATCAACCGATAAGAAGCGTGAAGTAAGTGAAGAGGCTACCACGCTGCTTGTTGAATGAAGCGATATGTTGTGTGCGACATGGCGGCCAAGTGCTAGTAGTGAATTTGTGAAAAGGAAAAAAAAACGTTCCGTTTATTGGTTTTGGCTTCGATCAGCGCCGGTATTCGGAGAAAATAACGGCTGCTGCTGAGACAGCTGTTTCGGTTCGGAAGATTGAAACCGCATAACGAAAGCAACAGTTACGACAACAACAACAACATCAACGGTGTTAATTGTAAATAGTGGTGCAGCCAGAGCGCGGATAGGGCTCAAGTGAATGAATGATGGAACCACGAGGGGCACTCTTTCGAGAGATCCATAAAAACACCTGGCTGCGACGGCTGAGCGGCGACGGAAAGAGACCATCTGTGCTTGCAAAGGTGAGAGTTTAGACTTGCATGGATATTTTTCACTGGAATAGAAAACTCATTTCGTGGTGTTCGCAGCGTGAAGGCATATTGAAAGATGTAAATTTTCTAGCGTAGATATTTGTACCTAGGTAGTTTACGCATATCAATTTAAATTGATTTGGTTTTGATTTAAATTTTGTTTAAAACATTTTGGAATTTACATTTCTTGTTATCTTCATAGATACGTATTTTACCCTTTTCCTTTCCAGGAGGTTTTGTGTTGTGAGATGCAAAAATGCGTTTTTAAAAAAATTGCTTGAACAAATCATTATCTATATGCAGTCTAATATTATCGAATTCAATAAAAAAAATTTGTTGTCATTAGTTTTCTAATTGTTTTCGCTATTCAATAGTTGATTGACAACTACAAGACGAACCGAAAAGTTGTGGATCATGGGAAGGAGAGGGTTAAACTGAACCAATATAAAAGCTATTATTTTTCTTCTTCCTTACTCTTCCGTTCTTACACCAGTTTTTGTCTGCTCTAAACTTAGTATTCTTTGAAGCAATTCCTCAGTTATTAGTGTAGAGCTTTCTATGCCAACAAATGCATGAATTTGCAAAACAGTGTGGCATGCAACACTATACTCAAAGCTTACCGAGTGTCTGCTCAGTGAGCAAAAGGTCGTGATTTCAATTCCGGGACGTCCACTTTATTATTTATACCTTGGATAAATTACCAATAACGTTTAGCAATCGTTTCCTTACCCTCCCTACTAACGAAATTTCACCCCTCCCGTGACACTTATGAGGGGTCGTAGAGTTCTCTGCATTTTTCTTAATTGTTCTCGATCATTGAAGCTTGTATCGCTTCCATCTTAGAGGCAGTGATTAATCAAAAATTGCTGCCGATGGGGGTAATGGATGAAAGCCTACACTCGTACTATAATCGTTCTATCGTAGGTGGATGAGTTTCGAATACCCGGCACTGAACACCCCTACAACAAGCTAAATGATCCTCTGGCTTACAATCTTGTACTGCATCGAAGTTCCAGGAGCCTCAAAGCTCTGTTTTAATGGACTTCTACAAATTGATTTCTGTAAGCAATAAAATATACGTGAGTCAAAAACTGGTTCTCTAAATCCTGATGAATGTGGGCGTCTTAGTGGAACACATGTAAAAGAGAGATAGAAGGATTAGTAACTTCCATTTAATTCCACTACCTTATTTGCTTATCTTTGACAGATACGCGTATTTCGTCTACAATGTGCAGACATCTTCAGTGTCTTGTACTAATACAGTCGAGTATTAGTATAAGACACTGAAGAAGTCTGCACATTGTAGACGAAATACGCGTATCTGTCAAGGATAAGAAAATAAGTTAGTGGAATTAAATGGAAATTACTAATGTCGTTTTCGTTTTTGCGGTGTAGCACTGGTGTAGTGTAAGCAGGAATAAGCGCGAGTCTTTGACAGCTCAACATCATTTGTTTGTAAACAAAGGTGCATTCTATATCTACACCCTAAAATATTTCGGTGTACGGCATTGTAGCACCGGTGTAGCTACACCGCAAAAACGAAAACGACATAATTCTTCCCCTTCTCTTGGTTCTCTAAACTTTTTTCTCAAAGGTTTTCCCAACAAGCCGAGGTCAAATAATTGTTTCTGTTTCCTGTTACGATGAGTTTCTGGTTTAACAAGCCGATGTCCTTCGGTCTCGGGAACAGGATTATTACATTGATTACTGTAATCTCTTTACCCTTCTCGAAATCCACTCAGTGCCCTCCGATGTGGATACTTTAAGCTTGACAATTTGATTCTTGTGACACTTGATCGTTCTTCCCGAAGTGGTCAGCTTTACCAGTTTTCCCTCGATGCCACTGCTCTCAACTGCAAGTGTAGGGATGAAGGGACATGCTATGTCAAGGGTTGTCTTAATATCCCTGTTGGACATAGCAACCACTGGTGATATTTCAGAAGAGCTAAGAGGAAGAGGAGACTGTGTGTTGTCTGTGACGTGTTCATCTTCTCTCGCGGAAACGACCGTCCAAAAACTGTTTCACTATGGGCGACGCAGTCGACTGTTAAAATACAAGAAAATAGATTCCTTGTCGTAAAAATTCTCGCGTTTCTATACGTTCGCCCGAGCAATCAGGCGCTGGTTCACGTTTGACAAATCATTGGTTCATAAAAGTCCCCTTAATTGTCTCCTCTTCTCTTAGAGCAACCGTACCAATGAGTAAATAAGGCACATTTACCAACCTCTACCATAACGCTACTTGCGTACCGGAGGTTGCTATTCAGGTGGGGGAAATAGCAATCCGCACCTTGGGAAGTAGTGAGTTCATAAATTTAGCAACCCGGTAGCAACGCATCAGACGGTTGCTATTTTGAATAAACGTCAAAAGTTTGTTTTGCCGGTGTGGAAAACGGTAACTTAAATTATGACTCTGATAGCAACGACCGGTGTGGAGAGGAGTGATCAAGCCAAAATGGAAACGCTATGCGTAAGTAAAATAGTGCCGCAAATGGCAACGACTGGTACGGTTGCACTTAGTATAATTCCATCGGCCTTAAGGAACCATCGGAACTTATCCGCAGTGATTTGTGTGCCATTATCACTGACCAACTCATGCACTAGAACAAATCTCGGCATACATTCCATAAGCTTTTCAATAGTGTAATTAGCAGTTGTTGACTTCGTATAAAACACTTCCAGCCACTTTGTCAACGTACCAATTATTATCAAGAACCAAAAGCCATTGACAAGTCTGTCTGGAACGCCATTGGCGGTCTGTCTGGAACGTTCCATGGAATCAGCTTGGCCAACGGAGATGACGATTGCTCCAGCGCGCATGATTCGCATTGCCCGGCGTGCAATACCACATCTTTATCGATATTGGGCCTCCAGATGCAACCCCTAGCCCCAATCCCTTCATTTGGTTTATTCCAGGATGTGATGAATGAAGTATTAGAAACAGTTGGCTGCGCAATTTCGTCGGTATTACAGCTCGATAACCCCTGCGCTTCGGTCAGAGAGCGTATAGGGCGTCTTTGTGCCAATTTGGTCGGTAGTTAGATCAAAAGTGCCTGAGAAAAATGCAAGTACTTTCGCAGAAGTTGCGATAGTGAAGGTATGATCACAGACAAGCAGACATAACACTCTTAAAACGATCATCAAAATCTTTTTTAAGGGGAAGCTCACCGGCCCAAAAATAAAAAAATATTTTCGGTACGTTTTTATTTTTCTAAAAATATTGGGAAAAATTATCAAAAATCCAAGAAAATCAGTTTCTTCCTTAGATTTTTGTCAAAAATTACATGCAAAAAAAAAATTTCCATCCCATCATGAAAAAAAATTGGACTTTCAGAAAAACCGAAAAGTTGATGTTTTGTGGTTTTTTGAGTCCAACTTTATGCCATAATGACTTATAAAACCAAGGTTGCAAAGACTCATTTCAGCTAAAACAATGTTTTTCTAAATTATGAAATAATAAGATGCCATGATCAAATTTTGAATTGGTAGGATACAAGAAGAGGTTGCAAAGAATGTGTTTGACATATTAAACCTGTTTATTTCACTTCATGAGAGTCATAATCAGCGATTTTTCACAAACTCACTCACTCACTCACTCACTCACTCAGCGATCAGCAAATCGCTGATTGTGACTCATAGAAAGCAAAATTTACAGGTTTTATGTTTCCAACGCATACTTTGTAACCTCTTCTTGTAAGTTACAAGTAAAACATGCCATCATACCATCTTTTGGTTTTATTATTCCGAAAAACATTATTTTAGCTGAAATGAGTCTTTGCAACCTTGTATAAAACATGTTTTTGCACGTGAATTTTCTTTAAAAAATTAGAAAAAATGTGATTTTTTTAGATTTTTGATACTTTTTTTCAATATTTTTAGAAAAATCAAAACGTAATTTTTTTTTTCGGAGCGGTCTGCTTCCCCTTAACGGTCAATTTAAATGTTTCTTAGTTGGTAGTACTGCCACTTGTGGTGCACATAATCAATTCCCTAGTGTTTGACGTTTACACACTACAACCATCTGTTGAGTGTATTGCCCATCATAGTGTATACGAAAGATGGCGGTAGGGTTTACAATGATAAATGTTCAATGTGTTGTGTCTGCTTGTCTGTGATATAACATTGAGGTAACGTTAGGATAAAATCAAAACATTGAGAAATATTACGCATCACTTTCAGAAATACTTCACTTCGCAACCGATGAACCATTCTGACGGCCATATGAGTACCCAAGTAACCATATAGTCGCAATATAGCTTGTATATTCTTACTTTGCTTGAGTACGGTTAGTTGGAGAATCTGATGAAACTGTCACTTGAAACTGATCCCTTTCGTATATCTTTCATTCTCCTTTCGCACACGGAGCGCTCGGTGGACCAGCGACTTTGGACGTGAGCCTCGCCCCAGATCATCATAGCAATTCAATAACATATGGTAGACATCAAACCGACCAAAAAAGGCGGCATCATATTAGAACCAACCAAACAAGGACGATCTACGGAAGGAAATTGACGGCGAAGCACGGAATGAAATACGAAGCGTTAGAGAAAAAGTCCAAGGGATTCCAAAGGAAGCAATTAACGGCGGCGGAAGAGCAGATTATGATGAGAGCTGTCCAGATTTTTGTGTACAAATTAAATATCAAAATTAAACTAAATACATGCCATGGTTGAAAAGAATATTTTCGAACCTGGAAGTGTGTATGTATCACCAATATCCATTTGATAACGGTGAAGCATACATGCAGGGCTTATTGTGAGTGAAAGTAACCTCGGAATGGGCATGACTCTCCAGACATTCTGAAATGGGTTGCTGGATCTGCAATAGAGCTATCACCTTCTAACTCCCGGACTAAAGCTGTAGAGAGAGTTCTTCCATAATAACACTGCCTGCCAGTGGGGGTTAGAGGGAACACACACACACACACACACACACACACACACACACACACACACACACACACACACACACACACACTACAGCTCGATATC